GGGGGGGAGGGGATCAGAGACTTCCGTCTAGCCTTCAGGTGGCGCCCTTGACCCATGAAGCTGCACACGCCTGAGGAGACTGTCCGGATCTGAGGACCTCAGAGAGGATCCGGGGTCCTGCCTGGGGGCTGTGTGTGGGGCAGAGGTGGGGCGAGGGGGTGAAGGCATCTTAGTTTGGCGCAATAGGGACTCCCCGGAGGTGCGGAGAGAGAGACGGCGGGGGAGGGGTCTTCTCCAGCACTCCCTCCGCCCCGCCCCTGCGCCCGGGGACCGTGGGCTCAAAGCTCCGGGTCCCTAAGCACCGACGCCGGCGATGCAGATCCGCCCTAAAGGGAGGGAGAGGAGGATGGATTGGTACCCCCCCACCCTTACCCCAGTCCATCATCCGCCTCCCAGTTCCTCCCCGCGCTAACTCTCCGAGCGTCCTCGCCGGCCGCAGGAGGAGCTCGATCCTTAGCGCTCCGGCCCCTATTGTTGGTAAACAGTCTCGGGGAGGACAGGCAGTGGCGGCCGGGCCCGCGCCCTCTGGGCTGCACCGCAGCACAGACCCCGGCGGGCCGGCGCAGGGGGAGGACGCAGCCTCGCCCGCCAGCAGCCGGGCGCCCTTCGCCTCCCGCGTCGGGAGGTAGCAAGGGAGGCCCGGCACAGGTACGCACGCGGAGAGGGAACTGCGGGGGGCGGCTGGAGGCTGAAGGCCCAAGGCGGCGAGTGGCGGCGAAGGACAGCTCGCCTGACCTCGCGGCCCGCCGAAGGACATGCGGCGAGGGGACCCGGGCGCACGCCGGCCCCCGTGCAGCCCGGCCTCCCCGGGCCTCCCGGCCGCCCTGCTGCGGGCGGTGCCTGGCTCGGTTCGGCCTGACTCGGCCCCGCCGCGTTTGTGGTCAAGGGCAGGAGCAGGGGGTGTGAACTGCGGACCGGAGAGCGCGGGGGTGCAGTGGGCGGCCGGGGTGCTGAGGCTTTCTGTTCGGAACTTTGGGTTTAACAGCGTGGACCTGCGTGTGCGTTATCTGCGCGCCCCGAGGCTTTGTATACAACTCACGCGTGTGTCTATATATTGGGTTTTGTGAAGCTTCACCCACACCCGCTGTGCATCTGTCTCCCCGGGTGTCAGTGCGCGCGCGGTGGGTGGGGTGCTCGGCTTGGACGGGTCTTGGTGGATCTGACTTGGATCTTAGCAGTTCTGGTGGTAGTTAACTCCTGTGTATGTATGTATGTATGTATGTATGTATGTATGTATGTATGTATGTATGTATGTATGTGTGTGTGTAAAACCAGTTCCACCCTCTCCTGGGGTATGAGTACAAATGGGCCTGCAGATCTTTGGGTCACACTACCTGGCTTACTGTGTCTGTAGGTACTGCGTGTGGGAACTGCTCCTGGGGGAGTGGATGTGGAACTGGGGTGTGCCTCTCAGGACCTGTTCTATTACAGATGAAAATGGAGGGTAACTGGTATGTTGTGGGGTGTGAACGGTGGGCATGAGTATCAGTTTGTTTCTGCTTATGTTTGGGCATGGCCTGGTGTTACTGGTGGCTATCTCTGAACCAGTGTGCGAGAGAAACAGAGAGACATCCTAACTCTGGGGGAGAGGAAGGCTCCTTTTTCTCTGCCCCCTCACTCTGGCAACCTAAGGAAAAAGTTTTGGGTTCTTGCAAGGTGAAAGAGAGCCCTGCTCCCAGAATTTGGGTGCCTGGATTTCCTTTGGGATATGGAGGGATCAATTTGTCAGTCTGGACAAGAGGTTCCTGGACCATTCTAGAAGCTGAGTTCTGTGGAAGGTGCTGAGGGCCTGGGGGGGGGGGGGGGAGCACACCCATGGGGCACCCACTGCCGGTCCCATTGTGGCTAGGCACTCAGGAAAACGCTTTTGGTGCTAAGAGTAAAAAGCCAACCCGCACACTTCTCCTGTGTATTCACTGGAAAGTGAAAGCAGTCTGGGCAGGGGGCTGGGGACCCAGACACAATTCAATGCCCTCAAGATGCTCACTATTGTTGGTAAACAGTCAGCTAAGTGGAGGGTCTACAGGCGAGGGCCAGAAGAGCCAGGGAAGAAGGGCGCAGCGATGCCCCCAGTGCAGTGTGGGTTTGCATATTTGTAGGCAATGATAATTCTTAGGGAAACTACATTCAACTCCTGGCCTCCCACATATGAGGGTACTTCAAAAAGTTCATGGAAAAATAGAATTAAAAGGTAATATGAATCTTTCCATGAACTTTTTGAAGACCCCTCATACATACCATGAGATCTTGGCCAAATTTTATGAAATGGAGATAGTAATTCCAGATCGTGGGGCAGATACTCCTGAGTGAAGTGCCTGGTACAGGGCCCAACTGGTAGTAGGTGCTCAGTAAACATTTATTAAATTGGGACTCTGGAAAGAGGGACGTAGTGATAGAAATAGGTTGTAAGTCGAAACAGGCTTTGTACTCAGATGAAAGGCCCCAGGTGTGCTAAGAGGAGGTGTCTGATGCAAGTCCATATTGGAAGGAAGGTCAGAATGATTGAAAAAGGTGCCTTCCTGCACTGAGGCTCTTGAGTTTCATTCATTCATTTATTTCATTCATTCTCACTTCATTCATTTGCTAATATTTGTGCACGTGTGCGCACACACACAGACAGAACTGCAGAGCGCTGCAATAAACCTGGGCATGAGAATGCAAAGAGTCATGCGAATGTGTGTGTAGGGACACCAGAACATGTGAGCCACTCTGCACCTGGTAGTCTCTATACCGTGCAGGGACTTGTGTGCCTGGGGCCCTGGGTGTATATACCCTCAGGACATCAGTGTGTATATGGGATGATGTAGTTCTCCTGCAGGATCAGGAATTACACATGCCAGGTGGGGAAGGGGACCTAGGTGGGACCTGTTGGAGAGAGACTGGATCTGCCTAAGGGAGGACCCACTTACCAGCTCTCGCTGAGTGTTATGAGGCAATGGGGGCCTACGGTGGCCAGATTCTTCCATTTTGCAAGAGAAGCCAGGAATCCAAAGTTTATGCTGTAAAATCTTTTGCTTTTTATATATTGACACCTAATTCACCAAAAACAAATGAACGGACCAGAAACAAAACAAAGTAAAACTTCTATGAGCCAAATATAGCCTGTAAGTTGGTATCCTTTGACAGGAATGCACATGTGCTGTCCATCTGTCTGTGCAGGTGTGTGTTCAGGTGGGGTATCTCCTCTTTGAAACACAGAGAGTGCCCTTTCTCCCCTTCTGGCTCTCCTTGGCCAGGTCCTCCCCACCTTCTGCTTACATAAATGCATTTGGCTGTGACCTCAGTCATGGCTCTCAAGTCTGCTCCTTTCCCTTTGCCCTCTCAGCCATGCCATCCCTGCCCTGTTGGACCCCTGCCCACCACTCACCTCCTTCCTATCGCATCTGCCCTTCTGCCTTCTGAAACCCAAGCAGATCTCAGCACTCCCTGCTCCTACACCTCGGCTCCCCATCACTCTCTGGCTCCTTGTCCTGTCTCCAGCTGACCTCTGAGGCACCTCTTCCCTTTCCAGAATGCCCTCATCCCCTTTCACTGCTGGAAAATTTCCGACTCATCCTCTGAGGTCTGGCTCAAATGCCACCAATTCCTAGAAACTTCCCTGACTTTTCTTCACTTTCTTCCCACAACACCTTGATCATCTCCATCAACCTCCATCCTCCTCACCTCATACAACCGTGTCCACTAATTGAGCTGGCCATGGCCTTGGTGCGTTATTTTATGAAATCCTCATAACAACGTTACAAGGGAGGCATTTTGTTTATTCCCATTTTACAGAAGAGAAAACTGAGTCTGGAGAGGTCACATCACTTGCCCAAGCTCAAGTGGTAAAGCTGGAATTTGAACCTGATGGCTACTCTGTCTAAATTCCATCATAATAGCTCATCACTAATAGTTAATGAGTACTTACTGTCCTGAGTACTTTATAAGGGTTATCTCAATCTCTACACCAGCCCTGTGTCATTTTATAGGTGGGAGAACTGAGACCCAGAGAGGATAAGTGAATTGCCCAAAGCCACACACCGGCCAGCAGTGGAGCAGAATCCTAGCATGGAATGCACTGCTCTGCTCTGTCATTGTCTTAGTCCCCATCCCCCCTCTGTCTGGAGAGCTCCCCCAGGTGCCTGACTCACCTTCACATGCTCAGAGTCTAGTGTGATGTCCGGCATCAGCGGGTTCTTGGTAGAGGTTTGCATTCAACTGACTTTCTGTTTTCTCTTCTAGCTGCCAAGGGGCCAAGGGATGAGCTGGGGCCGTCTTTCTCAATGGCATCTCCCCCTGGTCTAGAACTGAAGATACTGAGCAATGGTCCCCAGGCCCCAAGGAGGCCGGATCCTCTGGGCCCAGTGACCCCACCCAGGGAGGGTGTGGCGAATGCTTGCTTCTCCTCAGAGGAGCAGGAGACCCATTTCCAAAACCCCAGGGACACCAGACTGGGCAACTCCCCCAGTCCCCTGGGGGGTGTCTCTTCACTACCCCAATCTCAGCGGGATGATCTGTCCCTGCATTCAGAGGAGGGGCCAGGCCTGGAGCCCGTAAGCCGCCCAGTGGATTATGGCTTTGTTTCTGCTCTGGTTTTCCTGGTGAGTGGGATCCTCCTGGTGGTGACAGCGTATGCCATCCCCCGCGAGGCCCGAGTCAACCCGGACACAGTGACAGCACGGGAGATGGAACGACTTGAGATGTACTATGCTCGCCTGGGCTCCCACCTGGACAAGTGTATCATCGTGGGCCTGGGGCTGCTCACGGTGGGCGGCATGCTCTTGTCGGTGCTGCTTACGGTCTCCCTGTGCAAAGGCGAGCTGTATCGCCGGCGGACCTTCGTCCCTGGCAGGGGCTCCAGGAAGACCTACGGTTCCATTAACCTGCGCATGAGACAGCTCAATGGGGATGGGGGCCAGGCCCTGGTGGAGAACGAAGTTGTCCAGGTCTCAGATATTAGCCACACTCTCCAGGGGTCTTAAGTAAGAGCCCCCTTTATCTCGATGCTTTAGCTCCAGGGCTACAAAGCCCCCAAAGTCCTGGGGTTTCAAACTGAGCTCCACATAAGGTCCTGTAGAAGGAGCCTTGGGTGCTGGAGGGGGAGTCCAAGACCTGACCCAGGCCCCACACAGGTGAGCAGCTTGCTGATCTGTTTCGTAGTTTGAGGTTTTGCATAAGGTTTTGTTTGGAGGATGGCTTCTGCTGCTAAAAATACAACAGTTTGGAAATCACTGCTCTTGGAGGATGAGGTTTCTTGGCATTTCTGAGGATTGGGAGCTGTTTGAAAGGTTGCCCATCCCATTCCTCATGCCTTGGGGAATTCTGGGACCTCTGCTATCCTCATCAGTTGAGTGAGAGTATTGGATGACCTGGGACAGGCCCCTTTTAGCCCTGACCATCTAAGGTGGGAGGTGGCTTCATGAAGAGGTGAGAAGTTAGCACTGGGGTGATCACCCACTCCTCCACTGATTGAACTGTGACCCCCCCTCACCAGGTCTTAGTCACCCTGTCTGTAAGGCGAGGGGGGTTGGACTGGATGACTCCTTGGGCCCCTTCAGTTCTGTCCTGGGGATGGAAACCAAGCCTCTGTCTCTGGCCACCCCTTCCAGAGTGGACGGCGTCTGCCAGGCACTGGCCATTCTCCCTGCCATTTTCTGGCCTGGCTTTGGTGACCACCACTGTCAGACTGTTAGCAGCTCTCATGGTCCTGCTAAACAGCCCCCTGGACAGGCTGGGTTAAATCCAAACTTTGCTACATCCTGATTTTGGTCTTGGGATCTAAGTTCCTGCAGTGACTAATTTTCTGCAGTGACACATTTTCCAAAGTCAAGTGCACCATTTTCACCAGTTCTCTGGGTAAGAAGCATCTTTCATATTATAACGGGTGAGGCTTTGCTGTATTTCTTGGGTACGACGCAGGCCTTCATCACCTCCCCTCCTTAGTACTATGTCTCTTGGGCCTCATCTATTTTGGTAGCAGAAAAAAAATTTTTTTACTTGCTGAATTTGTAACCTCACTCTCCCCCACTTAGTAGTAAAGTGCAGCCCCAGTTTACCTGGGGAGAAATCAGGCACATGCAGGTGGCCTGGACACACAGGCAATCAGAGGGCCACATTGATTGCCATTGGTTCTCTTTCTCTTGGGGAATGTTTCCAGGCTCCTTCCTGACTCTCTTTTAAACTCCTGACAAAGACAACAAGTAGGCTCTAGGGGGCAAGGATATACAGGTGTTTGAGGACTGGGAGGATGCATCATCCAGTCCGAATGGCCCTAGAGGGCTTCGAGTACATGCCTTCTAGGCCACTGGTATGAAGATGCAAAAGGGGTCATTTCAGTGAGCCCCCTGCCTCCACACAGGTCCTATTTACTCCATATCAACTGGCCACATAAGCCATGGATCCTGTCTCTTGGGAGTGTGAGGGCAAGGTGGGTATGGGGTCTGTAGGCTTAGAGAGGCTCTGATTAGCTGTAACATGAGCCTTCAGTCCAGTGAGTTGAACATCTGGGCCATGTAATATCACAGTTCCTATGACAGATCAAATATCTGCTCCTGCTGGCAGGTTTTACCAGGAACAAAAGGCTGGGGAAGGGTTGAAGGGGACAAGGGTTGTTTAGCTTGGCTTCCTAGGTACTATCGTGCTATTGAAGGGGTGTGGTTTGAAAAGAACAAAGTCCCCAAATGGTGAAAGATTCACAAGTCCTGAGGTGTTGATTTCTTCCAGGCTCCAAGCAAGGAGTAGCTGCAGAAAAGAAAGTAGCATGAGCCAGTCTAGATAAACTGCAGTAGAATTGGACATCCAAATTATGGCCTAAGGCTTTTCAAATCTATAATGATAATAATAAAAATATCAATCCAAGTCATGTGGATTGCTGTGATGGTGGAGGACTCATCTGGATACTAAACCTGTTGAGTGCATGCATCTGGGGCCACTGATTCGTATCAATTGAAATGCAATGAATTGTATTTAGGGGCTAAATCCGTTAGAAGATTAAATCCCAGGAATCTCAGGTTTTTCTAAGCCAGAGAAGCCTGCTTTGCATTCTAATGTAGAAAATCCTTTAGAAAATGTGTATAATGGATCAAGGCAGTCATTACCTTGTCAGTGAATTAAGAAAACTTGAGAAATGCCAAAAACATTTCCCCAAGATTGCAGCTGAGATCTCCCAGCCGGTGAATCAGAAACACGTTTTAGGAAGGAGTCCAGGGGAGCATGGAGGAGGGTGCCGAGAACTTTCTTTGCAGGTTTTTGGGGTGTGGAGTCATCCCAGGGGGCCCTGTGGTTGCTGGAACTTGCCTTAACTCCAGCAACTTCCTCTCCCACCCACTATACTACTAGGGCCCCCAAACCTTGCTTTTCTTGGTGTAACAGAACAGATACCAATTTTGGAGTTGGTAAGACCAGGGTTTGAATCCAGGCTCTGCCATTTACTGGCTATGTGACCTTGGGCAAGTTATTCCACTTCTCTGAGTCTGGGTTTCTTTATCTGTGAAGTGGGATTAATGAAAGCTCTGCCTCAGGGAGGTGGTGCAAATCAGAGATAAGATAGAGATCTGCGTGGTACAAAGTCCTTCCCCACCTCATTGGGGATGGCTCAATTAGGCCTAAAACCTGGGGGTTAACTCTTCTTATGCCTTTCTCTCTCACATCTCACATGCTACCCATCAGCAGATCTTGCCAGTTCTACCTTCAGAATCTGGCCACTGTCCAACCCTGGCTGCCACTGCCCAGTCCAGGTTGCTCGCTCGTGTCCGGGCCTTCTCTCCCACCCACCCTTGTCCCCAGTTCATCCTCCACTTGGGAGCCAGAGGAAGTCTGTGAAAAGGGTAGTCAGGCCATGTTATTCTGCTCAAGATTCTCCCAGGGTTCCCTCTCTAGTCAAAAGCCAAAATTCTCACCACAGCTGGAGGCAGATTCACGGCAAGACTAGCAAAGCTTACATGTCCATGTCCCTCATCGCACAGGCACCTTCCAAGGCCCTAAATTGAATTTTGCATTTGTAACTTTATTTTTCTTAAGGATGGCCCCCTAAATTGCATAAGCTTCAGGTTCCCCCAAACCTGAGTTTATCCCTCAAAGGGGCCTACAAGGCCTTAAGCAATCTGGCCCCTGTGCCTCTCTGGTCTCATCTCTCACCCCTTTCCCCTCCCTCACTCTGCTCCAGCCATATTCACCTTGCCATTCCTCAACCTTGCCAGGCACACTCTTATCTCAAGGCCTCTGTTCTTGCTGTTACCTCTGCCTGAAGGCACTGCTCCTTAATATCTGCAAGTCCCACTCCTTCGCCTCCTCAGGGGCTTTATTCAAATATCACCTTCTCAATTACACCTTTGCTGACCACGCTATTTAAAGTCATACCCCTTCCCCCAATCTCACTCCCTCTTCCCTTTTCTGCTTTATTTTTCTCTGGAGCACTACCTTCCACCCAGCAGGCTGCGTCTTGCACTTATTTATTGTCTATTCTGCCCACTTTCTCTTCCATTGGGTTGCAAGCCCTACAAGAGCAGGCATTTTGGTCTAACTGGTTCATGCTGTACTCCTAGTGCTAGAAACAGTGTTTGACACATAGTAGGTGTTCACTGTTGAATGAATGAACAAAAAGTTTCCTATGCCTGCCAGTGTGCGGGAGCCCCACAGTCCTTGTCCAGCCTCCTGGAGCCCCCTCTAGGGGTGCAAATCAGTCACTCAGAAGATCACATGCCCAGAAGTGTGGAAGGACATTACTTTGTCACTGGGCCCTGCAGCAAGAGCTTGGAAATTGATTTGCTTTCCTTTCTCTTGACCATGGTATGGCTTTAATGTCGAAGAGTTGGAGGGGTCTCACTGATGAAGACCCCTTTCCCTGAGCTTTGTTAGGACACAGCCAGGTTCCAGCTAGACCTGGGAGACATTTGCTGGGTGTTTAGGAGACTAAGATATACCAGCCAGATTCTCCTTAAGTGTCCAGGCCTGGACCTTTGGAACCCCAGTGTCTATCATCACATCTGGAGTCTCCCGGCAGAAAATGCCTGCTGCCTGAGATTCTACCATTATCACTCCCTTCCTTGGGGATAAGCAGTATCTTCCCTGGGAATATCTTTAAATTGTCCTCATGCGCACATGAGCATACACACATATACACTCATACAGCTTTCTCTTGTCTGACCTAGCAAAGGAGCCAAGGACACATACTTTTGTGAAGCAGCTTCAAGACAGGGCATCCTCTGGATGATTGATAACATTTCCTCTTTCTCCACCAGCCATAGGGTTGCAGTTCCCAGTATGCTAACCTCACAGCAAAAGTCAAGTTGGGGGAGGGTCCCAGGCTAGGCTGGTGTTTCTGTGTCCTTCTCGTTCCCCCTTCTCCCAAGGAGGGAGTTGTCAAGGAGCATTTCCACCCTGGCATCTCAGGAGGGGACTGTGTGGTCCTGGGCTGGGAACTAGGCGAGTCAGGTTTTGCTGGTCACCCTGTAGGCCCTTGGATAAATCACAGCACCTCTCTAGTTTTCCAGAGGAAAATTTGAAACCTTCCCACTCTACTTTTTCTAGGGGCTGGGGTATCAGGAAACACAAGCAGAGGGCTTTCCAAAGGTGAGAGCATGGTACCCTGTGACTGGAGAGCTGTGAAGGGGCAGGAGGTGGGAAGGAAGGGAGGAAGTGTGAAAAAGCCACAGGAGGTGGATTCTGTGCAAGGGTCTGTCAGGAGAAAAGTGGGGTGTCAGTGGCACTGACAAAGTCAAGAAGATGCCCTCCAGCTGGGCCTGTTGGTTTCTCCTGGAGAGCGGACTACCCTGATGTTTGCCAGGAGGTGAATTTCAGCTAGGGGAAAGAGAAAAGCTTGCTGAGCTCTCACCTGGGTTGGAGTGGTAGGGAGCTCGTTGTCAGTAGAGGTGTGTTAGCATTTACCGGTCAGGTGTTGTGTATTTTCAGACATGGAGCATAGTACAGTTGGGTAGGATTTAGCCAAAAGGCTCCTCAAGCTTCTGAACTCCTCTTTTGAGGAAAACCAATACCCCAATGGCCAGAGACTGGTTAAAGACAGTAACAACCCTGGCCCTGCTGTCTCTTGTCTTTGGTCTCAAAACCTCCTTCCCCACATCATTCCTCTTCCTAGATCAGGTTATCCATGAGCCAATGGTAGGGTCAGGACACCTGAGAGGTACAGAGGGGCACAGGACTACCACCTTTCCCCAGGTGGCCAAGTGCTTCTGAGCTTTCTCCCTACTCAAATCTCAGAGGGTAGGGGGCAGGGC